ACATATTTGGCTGTTAGTGTCACCATTCTAATTCAAATGCATTTCATTTTAAGAAGTTGTTTCTATGCTGTGAGTTTGATCAATGTAAAAGTCACATTGCCAGAATATTATTCTGAAAGTATTTTAACATAATTTAGAGCACCTTTATTACTGTAAACAAAAAACTACAGAAATATTTTTGGCCACATTGTTTTGAAATTGTTCAAAATTACAGTAAATTAATTGGCTCCATGTATCTCTTTCAAAAAGTGTTTCAACTAACTATAACAATCCCATTTTCATTCAAATTTTATTTAAAATGTCTTGATATGTCACTGTCCCTTATTACCTACACATGTAGTTAATGAGAGACCTTTGGTGATGACGTCATTAATCATTGTTATCTTATTAGTCAGTTACATCATGACCACAATTTTGTTACCAAATAAAGAGAAAAAATTACTGAAGAGAATACAAAACTTTCTGTATGTGTAACACTGTTCATGTTTATGTAAAGTATGCAAATGTGCTTAAGGGTCTCCAATTCCCCACACCTACCCCAAAAAGATGAAAGATGAATGCAGCACAACTGCAATTGTTGCCAAACAAAAGCATTTAATATGATTTCAACGTGACATAGATTTAAGAAATTGGCATTTGGCTGGCACACATGTTTTATTCAAATTAATATGTTTATAGAAGGCGCTATTTCAAAATATGCAAATAGGCTGGTCATCTATGGCCATGCAACATCACAAAACATTTTTGTATTGATGGTCCTAGCCACCCTCTAAATACTAAATACACTCTCCCGGATTGCAGGAGACAAATGCCGAACGAAAGGTCTCATCAAACGGGTCACAAGGGTGAGCCATGATCTATATGACAACGATGACGACGACGACGACGAAGTTAATGAGAGACCTTTGGTGATGACGTCATTAATCATTGTTATCTTATTAGTCAGTTACATCATGACCACAATTTTGTTACCAAATAAAGAGAAAAAATTACTGAAGAGAATACAAAACTTTCTGTATGTGTAACACTGTTCATGTTTATGTAAAGTATGCAAATGTGCTTAAGGGTCTCCAATTCCCCACACCTACCCCAAAAAGATGAAAGATGAATGCAGCACAACTGCAATTGTTGCCAAACAAAAGCATTTAATATGATTTCAACGTGACATAGATTTAAGAAATTGGCATTTGGCTGGCACACATGTTTTATTCAAATTAATATGTTTATAGAAGGCGCTATTTCAAAATATGCAAATAGGCTGGTCATCTATGGCCATGCAACATCACAAAACATTTTTGTATTGATGGTCCTAGACAGATACAGACATTTAGCTGCCCAAAATTGTAGAAAAAATCCTTATTATATATTTATCATTAATTTTTAAAGGAAAATCATGTACTTTGGCGGCCATTTTGTATGACGTCATATATCTTAAATCAAGGCTGACAGAGTGTCAGCAATTGGATTCTTGAAATAGAAGCTTTAGGCAATCCATATCCATTGAAAAAAAACTATAGACCCTAAAACAAGGTTAGGCCAATAATCTGGATTTGGCTGCCGGACTAACTGTAAGTGGCGTGCCGCGACTGAGAATACAATACAATATACAATACAATGAACATTTAGGGCGCCATTCCCGTAAGGCTCAGAGCGCTAACATCAAATAATATTAATAACGAATAACGAGTACTATAAATATATATATATATGCACAACCTTCTTGTTTTCTGCCAGTATGAGAAAATAGCACGAAGAGAACAATGATGTGCAGAAGGTTGCGTACAGATTATCAAAGGACATTGATTAGGAATATATTTAGTTAGATTGGCATAATGGGTATTTAAGACGTTTAGCGCGCCTAAGCGAATATCGATTTTTATCGTTATGATTTTACTACTGCATATCTATTGGAAATAAGATGAATTTTGCCATAGGGGCTGACCTCTTTAATATGCCGAATATCAACCATCTAGTCTGTAAATGTACTTTTTTAAAATTTATCTTGACCTTTTTGCAAATGCAATTTCGTCATCAAATTATCGTAAATTAATTAGGATTAGACCACTTTACAGCCCAATCATATGGTTGCCCGAATATTGGTAAATTAATAAACTCTCCCCTCCCCTCCCACTTTGGATTAATTACTGTTACGGATATTCACATCTATATTAGTGGGTTTGATTTGTGGGATATATGTACATTCGCAAAGCCCCATTTTACCCACTTTTCTATCAATGTTAAAGAACCTTGATACCTTTAAAATATGCATAGGCCTACATATATTTTTTTAAATATAAGTATGAGATTTGACATGTGAAAAATTGTGACATTTTGTAATGAAGTCTCATGAAAGAGAGAGATTTTTTAAACAGATAAATAGAGGCTAAATGACTGCAAATTCTTACGATGAAACATAATATTGAGAACAAATTTTATTTTCTATGAGGCAGACCAAATTGTGACCGAATGACTTTATAAGACAGTGTTAAAGATTACTTAGTGATCATTTCTTAAAACACATATACACATTGATAGGTCGGACTGTTTTCAAATCGTGTACAGAGTCATATAAATATCGCTTTTGTTGATTTCGGCAGAAATGTGGACTTATAAAACATACATGTGCGTATGTACATGCAATAATATGTAACATTAATCTAACTATGGGAAAAGGTAATCTGGTAAAAAAAAAGTTTGTAAGAAAATTGTATTAAAAAAATAACTAAAGAATATTACAGTGAATAAAATAAGAGAAATGTTATGCCTTTTGCATGACGGACTTATGACCAAGTTACCCATCAAATTTTCTGTGCATGTATTTTATATACATACTTCACAGTTAACAACTGTTAAGTCTTTTTTATGTTTCTCATCACTCAAGAATGAAGGGTAGATTGATTGAAATCGGTCCTTTGTTGAATATTGCTTGATGTGGGCTTTAATATGTTACATTCTCACGAAAAATATATTGGGACAAATATTGTTTTCACATACTTAAATAATCACAGTACTTGGTAAGAGTATGACAAATTTAGTTGGTAACTATAATTATGTATATTATATGCCCCCCCCCCCCCAAAAAAAAAAAAAAATAAAATAAAAAATAAAATAAATAAATAAATAAATAAATAAAAAATAAATATATAAATAAATAAATAAGAAAAACATGTTAAAATATTTGTTTTAAAGGGACTATGTCCCATTTTCAGCCAACATCAAATTCTGTAGAACTTTGCAGGAATTATGAATATGCCACGTAATATGTCCTATCTGTGAAATTTAAACTTTAGCAGTGTCCTATTATTTAAATCTTAAAGAAAATCGGTTTATTTTCTATACTTCACTGTCAGACACTATTTAGTTACTGACTTACTTCTTTTTTATCTTAGTTAATAACATAATTAAAATTAGCTGTAAAGGGTACATGGGCATTTGTTACATCAATAACCCACTTCTTGTAATGGCCAAAATAAAAATGATTAAATCTTTGCGCAGCACAAAGCGTACGACCTTCGGTAAAAGGATTGCAATCCCGAAAGTCGATTCGATAACTACCGGTCGTTATTTTCCTACAAAAAGATATTTTCAAGCCCTTTCGGAAATACTAAACTGGTATTATCTTTCAATGCTGGTGGAATTTAACCTTTTCATATTTTTGCCTGCAAATGGGACATAAGGCCTTTGAAGAAAATATGTAAAAGGTGTGTAGATCACAATGTTTCTTTTTAATAGGACAAGGTGTGGGAGGTTTTCACATTAACCAGTACTTGACCTGATATGCAAAATACATTCATGTCTTGTTCATACACATAATCATAATAATAAACATGATAACGATGATAATAACAATAAATATAATCATAATACTAATACTGATAAGAAATAAAATAATAACAATAATACTTCTAAGATATAGCACTTATGGTTCCGCCGTCCACATGGTTCATTAGAACATACATGACGTATTTAAACACAAAATCGAAATAATTATGTACAATATGTCAACAATATTCACGAAAATTAATATTAACATATCAGGGCTCTGTGTCATGAATTTTGTCATCAACAAGTGCGGAAATTCAGTGTTAAATTTGTTCAAAGTCAATCATATACAGTAATTTCAGTAGCTTACAACATTTATTAAAACTTGTTATATATATATATATATATATATATATATAATAAAGTTGATGAAACAGGTAACTGGTGTTAAACTGGCTAAAATTATAGTGAAATTGCGAGGCAAGGTTAAATATGTTCACCAGTGGCAGTTCTGATCTTCCAATCGTTAATTTGTGTATAGAAATCTCGCGACACCTTGTATAGAACAAAGCTTGTAACATTTGCATTATAGCATTTTGGACCTGTCCATCAAATTTTGTTAAGCTTTTTTTTTTTTTTTTTTTAGTTTATGTATTTGTGCGTATGCGTGTGTTTTCATAAATGCGTTCGTGTGGATGCGTGTGGATGCGTGTGTGTCGGGTGTGTGTGTGCGTTATTACTATTTACCGATAATACCACATGATTACAATAATTGAATTATGTATAATGGTGACGTGTATATACATGAGCTAAGTATTCATTCATTAATTAGGTCAAATTAGAACATATCAAACACTTACATAGCTAACAATTATTATACATCATGTGAAAGAATGTTTCACCCCAAATCATTTATCATTTTTGTGTGGTATGTGTTCACCCTTGGATGAACAGGAGGCATTGTTTGCGAGAGTGCAAAAATCAAATGAATGAGGGCTTTTCAAAATATATACATCCTAGTTCAGCCTCGGCCACAACGGATCGCACGAAATATTGTCGTAGTAGACCCATAAAATCTTTGTTGTGGCCAGATCTTGCAACAAGCCCGAAATCTATATCGAGTCGCACAAGGGCTACAACATATTAAAAAAGACTGTTGTGGTTATGTCATGGGAGTATCGCAAGTCAGTCGTGCGGCAGTCATTGAGATTTGTCGGGTTTTATCTGGGGGCTCTGTTTCAGGTGATCAGGTCGTGGTTTACTCGTTGGATTCGCTTTCGACAGTCGTGCAACTGTCGCAAGACTGTAGCACAATAGTCGTGGGTAACTCGTGGGACGCTCCTGCGTCCATTTGTCGTCTCAGTCTCGTACAACAGATCCACGACACCCACAAGATATAGATACTTCAGAATATCGTAGAAAAAAAGATGCATGTCCAATTTTGCATCACGACGGCACGTCGGTGCCACGATGCTCCAATATTCGTAGGACTGTCTTCAGACGAACCCCGATGACCCATGATTTGCCCAAAATGTATGTCATGTCGTGGCACAAATGCGTTGTGACCAGGCCGTTAGAATGTACCCACGCAGACCCTGAGGTGTGCTTACACGATTACAAAGGTGACTGCTAGATACCAGTTAGATAACCTTTTGGAAAATTACGCTTACAGAAAATAATCGGCAACGCTTTTATATAATGTGAGAAAGTACTCAAGACTTTTTAAAAAAAGCTTAAATTTCTTTTATGCTACAATTACTAAGGATTAATTTCGATAAGTACCTTTGCAAAACCCCCATTTTGTTACCCTATCCTGATCTTTTAGTGTTTGTGTACTTCATTGTCAATGGACCTTGATCCTTTTAAAATAAACATCTTTTAATGTATATATTTTTTGTTTGGGGGATTCGAAATGTAAAGTATTGTGATATTTCGTTTAATGAGAGAAAAAGAGAGAGATTTTCTATGACATAAAAAGAAACTTAACGACTGCAAATTCCTACGATGTTCTATACCTCATTATTATTGAGAATAAATTATTTGTACTATGCAGACCAAACTGTGACCAAATGACATCACACAGTATTTAAGATTATATAGTCATCCTTTCTTTAACACATATATACATTGGTAGGTCTGATTGTATTCATACTGTATACAGACTCATGCAAATGTCGATTTTGTTTGTTTCGGCTGGAAAAGGGGGACTTATTTTTAATTAAAAAATTGCGTATATACATGTGATAACTTGTAAACATAAGTATAACTTTGGAAAAGGTTGTCTGGTCTTAGAAAACTTTATAAGGAAATTTGTATAAACTAAGTTAAGGAATATTCCAGTGAATTAAAATAAGAGAATTTGTTGCCTTTTGCGTGACGGACTTTTGATCAAGAGACCTATTTTGTTTCATCTGACTGCGACAACAGAATTATAAAGAAAGTGTTTATATAATTTATCGAATTGTAAGTAACTTTGATTTTCTTCAAACTATTTTGTGTCAACTTCAAAGTTTACTTAGATTTCTGTTCATGCATTTTATGTACATGTAAGAGATAATGTATATATATATATATATATATATATATATATATAAAATATGCCCAAAAGATGAGAAACGAATGTGTAGGAGATTTTGTTAAAAGTATAGTGTGTGTAGATTACAAGATTACAAAGAGAATACAATAAGACAAGGCCTGGGGGGGGGGGGGAGGCCTTTTCAGAATACGTCATGATCGCGAGGATGGTCGCACTATTTTTTTTACATAAACCATTACGTGAGACTTGATATGCAAAATAAATACATTTCATGTTCATACTCATCATCGTATGGTAATGATAATAATAAAGATAATGGGGACAATAAAAATGATAAAAATAGTTATAAATATCATGACAACGTACAGTTTTCATTGCTTTGACCCAGCATATAGCTTTTACAGGACCTCGAGAATTGAATAGTTTTTCGTGGATAATCCTAGCAATATTAATCTTCTTCGCCCTTTCCCAAATGTATTGGAAAATCAAATGAATGAGGGCATTTCAAAATATCTACATCCTAGTTAGGATGTACCCACATAGATGACTGTTATAGACGATTTTAATTACCTTTTAGAACATTACGCTGAAAAAATGGCATAATTTTTATAAAATATAAGAGAGTACTCAATATTTTTAAATCTTCAATTTATGTTTTGCTACAATAACAAAGGAATATCTTAATATACAATATATTATGTAGAACATGAGCATGTGTGATACATTCAAAGAAAAATTATATTACTTTCGCCGGCATAGGAACATGTTGAATATAGTAGATCTGAACAACGGTTGCGACACGGCATACGATATCGGGTTGAGGAGGCTGTTAAGGTACGGCATCCATCCAAAGAACAGTCGAGCTGGTTGCGGTAGTCCTGGCACAACGAGCACGGGTTCGATGGAGTAAATGAGCATGATGATGCTCTGCGGTAGCCATGAAACTACGAAAGCGATAACGATGACGAGGAGCGTTCTGGTAGCCTTGCTCATTTCGGTGGCAGTTTCGCGTTTCATCTGAGAGTCATTTAAAGAAAAACAAAACCATGGTTAAAAGTTACTCGGACTAGAATTTCTAGATACTTGGATTTAAGTGCTAATCCACTAATGAAATTGCACACACTGCACTCCCTGGTGAGTATTAGGCTAGGCGCCATTTTACAAGCGCACACGTGCCTATCCAACCACATTAACGTTCGCATTCTACCGGATGCCCATTGGTTAGGCTGTTTTACCTGACTGCTATTAAAGTATGTGTATGCTTATAAGTAAGCAACAAGGGGACCAACGGCTTTAAGGGGCTTGTTAATGAGGAATCATACATGAGCAAAGGGCACTAGCGCATCGATTTGGTTTCAAACCCTGGATCTCCCGGTTACGAGACCACTGCTCTACCACCGAGCCATCGCCCCCTCCTTTACACCTCCATGTCGAGTGGGAAATGTAGATTAATGTCTTGCCGACGGACATATGTTACCGCGACCCACATGATCAGCAGTCCATCGACATATCCAGTAGACCCAAAACACCTCTACTTTCCGTTAGTATAAGTTGCAAAAATGAACAAACCGTGAAAAAAATAATTTACGATATATGTGAACAACAGTTCTTTTTCAATTATTTCTACAATCATAACAACACTAATCATGGTGATCGTCATCTTCATATGGTCTCATTTATATTGTTACAAGTAGTGTCATTTTTAAAAATGATGGTTGGTTTCCTTTCCAAAAAAAGGTGAGAAATTTTGAAAAAAGCTACTATTGGTATATCTTTAACTCTATGAAATAGATGAAATTAACTTAACTTGTTAGATTGAACATTGTAAACTGTTCTGATGTTAAATCGAATAACATGTTCGTCCACGTCAGAATCAAGATTCATGAATAATGTCCCCATAAACGAAGCCTCTGTAACATCATGCTTATTTAAAATATGAAGTATTCAACGGATAGCGAACGACAAAAGCGCAAATCTTCCGAGCAAGCAACAAAGCAAAGTATTTACGAATAGCCCAATAAACAAAATCACGTGAAAATCACGTCAATATCAAGGTATCGACTTCAGGAGAGTTACGTTCTTCAAACACCTGACATTTACGTAAATGTGTTAATACGTTTATTGCACTAGGTAACTTAAAACTCACGTACACTAAATCACGCAATTGTCACTGCAATATCACCATTATAATAACGTGATTATCCTTACCTTGGAGACCATGGTTTGTAAACCTAATACTCCCGTGTTTGTTTGGTTATGAAATTACATCTTAAACGAAATTATCGCGTCACAGAAACATGTTCTTCATTCACGTGAAATTTACGTCGAAGAGGAAGTATGTTACTGTAACCCGCGTTCAACCCAATAATTACGCAAATGTTACACAATAAATGAACCAAAATAATAATAATCATCCCGTTTCTGAACATCGTGTCTTGGATCTTCCATAATTACGTCCAGGCGCGCCGGTAGCAGTTTGGGGTTAGAGGGGGTTGGGGAGGGGGTGGGTGCAAACATCCCAGAAGAGAAAGCTAGTTGCAACTGGTCCAGTTGATGAACCATTTGATGCCAACTGGTAACCCTGGAAATTGAAATGGGCTAAATGATCCAGTTGATCCAGGCCAGTTATACTTCAACTGGTCTAGCTGAGCCATTAGAACCATTTGGTTAACTTCCAACCAGTTGAACAGCAACAATACTTCAATACTGGTACGTCTGTATTTCCAATGTAAAGGCATTGGTAATAAGTAGACTTACATAATTGAATTAATCGAAAAAAATTCGTATACTTGTACTTTATTGAAATTATTTTAGTTCATAGTTAATGTTTCCCTTATTCATGTTTAACTAAATGTAATTTATACGAAGTAGCGAAATGTCCTAATAACTGGTAATTTATATGTGTAGTATCTTCGAAATGAATTGCATATAACTAAATCATCAGTAATTAAGAAATATGCTGTAAATTCAGATAAATTGTTTAAAAAAACATAGATCTGCACGCACCCCATATTCAATATGCAAATTAATTGGTGTCAGCTTGTTCAACTCGAAATATGCCAACACTCAGTCATCAACCGGTGCAACTGGAAATATGCACACTCCAGTTATCAACTGGTGCAATGAAAATATGCCAACAGTCAGTTATCAACTGGTGAACATAGAAATATGCCAACAGTCACGGTATTATCACCACGGAACTTAAATGGTAACTGTGAAACTATCAAGAAACCCAAGAATAACTCATTTTCACACCTGGAAAACACGGAATACCCAGCTTATATAAATAATCCGTTTGAGTCACGAGATCATCACCGCGGAACTGCTGGCAACGTTGACTACCATTTAAATAGGTGTTTTAAGACACCTAATCATGACTAATTATTCACACCTAAAAGTCACGTATGCCCAGCTTAGATTAATATTCCGTTTGAGTCACGAGATCATCACCGCAGAACTGCTGGCAACTTTGACTACCATTTAAATAGGTGTTTTAAGACACCTAATAATTACTAATTTTTCACACCTAAAAGTCATGTATGCCCAGCTTAGATTAATAATCCGTTTGACTCACGAGATCATCACCGCGGAACTTATGGCAACTTTGACTACCATTTAAATAGGTGTTTTAAGACACCTAATAATTACTAATTTTTCACACCTACGTATCACGGATTCACAGCTTAGATTAGTAATCAGCTTGAGCCACGTGATCATAACCAAGAAATTTATGGTAACTTTGAAACCATTTAAAGAGGTGTGTAAGACACCTCCGAATTACTAATTTAATATAACCAGAGATTCACGGACAGAACAATAAGACGATTAGCCGGTGTAAGTAACGTGATTATTACGATCAACCTTGGATAACCTGTGAAACCAATCGATAAAGGTGCTTACAAGACCAAATAATTACGTATTTATCGCCACCATCGGTTAACGGACAAAAAACTCGTTGCTTGGTCAAGTGGTTATTTGGTCATAAACACTTGATTTACAGAGGTAAGTGGAATCACGTTACTCCAGTCGCGTGATAAACTGGTGGTTTTTAGGTTAGATGAAAACGTGAACAGGAATACCTTTTTTGTTTAAATGAAGGCACGTGTCGATAACGTTTAAATCTAGTTCAAAAGGCACTATACTTTAAAATCACTTATAATACACTCCCAAAAGAGGTTACTTTTTAGTGTTCTGTTTATTGGGAGGCCTAAGTTTTTCTGAGTGCCTAATTTAATTCTCTCAAACCTCTTGCTAGAATTGTTTAATATCTAATGGATTAATAGTGTGTTTAGGTTTGCATCGGATTTGCTATTACGGATAAAATACTAAAATCGTCTTATTGCTGTATACATGGTAGACGGTAAAAAAACTAAACACTTACTGTTGTTTTCTTTCCATTATTTGCAGCATTGTCGTTCTTCATCTTAGGACCTTGGTCAAAATTATCGGATGAGAGGTCGACATTGATGGTTGATGTACTGACTGCCGACGTCATGCCATCGTGAGGTAACTCCGCTGTGATCTTTCCCTTGTTCGCATCTTTCATGACAAACTGTTTTTCGACATTCTTACCCCCGAGAGAAGCCTGAATTTTAGCAACGATTCTAAAATAGAGTACAGCGATGATGATAAATGGTAAATAGAAGTAAGTGATGTACGGGATGATACCAGGTAATGTTCGTACAGTGTACCAGCGAATGCAGTGACGACCGTTGTCGAAATCGATGATGAATTCGGGTACGGTGATATACAGAAACCAGAAGACACCTGACACAGTCCATGGGATGAGGTTTTTGATGATGGCCATTCGTTTGCTTCGTGATATGAAGTGGTTGATGGGATCGTAAGTAGCCTGATGTCGATCAGCGCAGATCAAGACCACGGCAAGGTTGGAGGCGTTGACAATTACCGACCGGAGAGCAGAAGTCATCTTGCAGATATCTTGGGAGAACGGGTAGTACCCGATGTGTGTATGAACCACCGAGAGAATGAGGACCAATCCGGTCATGAAGTCCAGAATGGTCAGGTTAATGATGAAGTAGTTGTTGTAAGTGCGAAGTCGTTTCTCGATGCAGAAGGCTACGAGACTCAAAAAGTTGGCAACGATGATGAGGACTGTGAAAAGGATAGGCCACAGGATCCTGTGGATGTTCACCGAGCGAGATTTCTGCTCAGTTATTGTGGTCTCAGATAAAAGCTCCGTCGAATTCGCAAAATAATCCTCAACTAACATAGTCGAATAAAATGTAGGTTCTGTAACAGTCTGGATCTTAGCACCCGCCATATCAAAATCTAATTTTATTAAACAATATTGAAATACTGCACCAGATAAAATGAAAATTAGATTCTTAATGACAGTTAGTTAAATGGCGTGCCGTGACTGAGAATGACGAATAATCTCTTCTGCAGGGCATGCAAGAGATTATATACACAATTTTCTTGTTTTCTACCAGTATGAGAAACGCCGAAAAAATATCACGAAGAGAGCAGTAATGTGCAGAAGGTTGCGTAAACATTATATGAGGGCATTGATCAGGAAGATCTAGAGGTAGGCGGTGACCGTTATTAATGTGTTTGGCGTGCAATAACGAACGGCGGATTCTATTGTTATGATTTTGCTGCCGCTTTGTTAATAGAAATCAGATGAACTCCTATGAAGGCTCTTTAAAAGAATTATGCCATGTAGCTTCGGTTTTGAGAAGAGGCATTGGAGAATTCGATCAGGCGCAAAGTGGGAGCATTGTTATCAGAAAAAAACAGACCGATAGAGTGTGTCTTATTAAATTGCAAGGCCCCGAGCAAGAGCTAAATAAGACGAAGTGCACTTACATGGATGGTGCAATTCGTGCAAAGTTAGGTTACAAATTGAATCGATTTTGAATACGAGAAGTTTAGAAGCTTGTCTAGTGTTGTCTGAATATGCCAACGCATAACGTTTGGTGTCGCATCTATTTTTTTCAACGGTTACGGGGAAAACGTCTAAGACGTACATGTCGGTATTTATACATAAAATTAAATTCAAACTATAAAACATGTCAAAAATATTCATGGATATGATTGACAACATTTTTTGGCCCTGAGTCATTAATTTTTATCATCAGCGTCAAGTGCGGAAATTCAGTGTCAAATTGGCTCCAAGTCAATCAATTGCAGTCATTTCAGTAGCTTACAACATTTATTGAATCTTGTTATTTCTTTTCTATAATAGAGTCATCTTTATTCAATATTGTTCTCAACTTTGCAAAAACTTAACAAAAAGATATATATACATAACTGATTATACAGGACATGCTGGTACAGAGAACAATTTAAAGCAACAAAATGTATTTCCACCTATTATCAAATGCACATGCACTCCTACACGCACATGCACGCATCAAACACATAGTATTCATTTATACTAGTCGCCATAGCTAATTTTACATCTTAATGGCTTTAAATGATATATTGAATGATCAAATTTATACACCCAAGAGTAAATATTATACTACTAGTAAATTTAATTCAAATTTTAATTCAACGGGACCCAATAATCTTCACTGTTTTTAGTTATCAAACATTAATATTCGAAGCTTACAAAAGAATTTTGGTAATTTTTAAGAATTTTTATTCATCCTAAACACATTTCAATTTTTCTTTGATAGGACTTATCGAAACCTGTTTACACTCAACTTCTCCTCCAATATTAAATATTGAGAATAATGAAATAATTCATTGAGACCGTAAAACTGGAAAGGGAGGAGTTGTCGCTTTTTATACTTGTAATGATGTACAATGTTCAAAAAGACATTATATTCAATTTGAAGGAATAGAAACATTATTTTTAGAAATTATTGATGATAAACATAAGAATAAAATCATTAGGGTAATGTATAGACCACCTGAAAATGTAGCCGACACATTTTTTGATAAATTAGAACCATGCCTTGAATATATTTCTAGAGAAAACAAAGATATATATGTCATGGGAGATTTTAGTATCGATATGTCCTTATCTTATACTGTTCCTGGCCAACACTTTAGTAATTTATTATCTTCATTTTCTTTCAAACCTTTTATTAATAAACCAACTAGGATTACAAACTTAACTCATACTATAATTGATAATATTTTCCCAAACGTATTAGATAATAAACACAATGGAATAATATACCATGCTATTTCAGACCATTTACCCATGTTTACGATATGTCAAAATGATAAACACTTAATAAAATTCCCAATAAAGAACATACTAACCCGGCGTAAAGAAATAAAGCGTAATCTTGAAACCTTAAAGATAGACTTGAGTCAGGAAAGTTGGTATGATATTTATTTTGAAAGAGATGTGAACAGTTCATATGAAAAATGTATAATTAACTTCTTTGTCATTATGATAAAAATGTACCCCTCACAAGAATTAAATCAAATAAAAAGAAAAATAACGACCATGGATTACTCAATGTATACTTGAATTGAAATCTACTCGAATTCGTTTATATAACATATCACTCAAATGAATATCAAAATAAATATAAAAAGTACCGTAATAAATTCATTTCAATTATTCGTTATTATACCATTGTTTGTTCATTAAAATGTAGTAAGTCTAGCAGCTATAATTCACTCCATAGCTTTCCGGTTATCACATATCTTTAATTTATTTCTTTCCCAAGGGATTTTTCCCGGCCCACTAAAAGTTGCGAAAAAAATTCCGATATATAAAAAGGATGATCACTATGAAAATGCAAAAAGCCGACCAATTTCTTTACTACCAAGCATTTCAACAAAATTTGAGAAAATAGTATATAAACGGTTTGAAGACTTTTTGAGTAATAGACATCAATATGTTATTATTAAATCTAAAACATCTTATATTTCCACCGTAGAGTGCAAAGTACCATAAGGCTCAACATTAGGTGCTTTATTATTTTTAGTATATGAATGATATTGTTAATGCATTACCACTCCTAATATACATTTTGTTAGCAAACAATTCCAACGTGACGTATCAACATAAACACTTGAGCATTATTATTACAACTTCAATTTAAAATTAAGTAAATTATCATCTTGGTTCATAGCCAATAAACTCTCTCTAAATATTAATAAGACTCATTGTATTTATTTCAAAAAAATACACTCTAAACATATACTTCGTTATAATATTTTTATAGATGACATGATTGAAAAAAAAGTTACAACCTTCTAAGGTGTAAGTCATATTACCAACATTTGCATGTTAGTTTCGAGAGGCATAGGCATTTTATATAAATTAAAATATTATCTATCACAAAAGTCACTAGTTATGATTTATAATCCTTTCATTTTGTTATACATATCTTATTGTAACTTATTGTGGGGTAATAGTAAGATGAAAATTATGTTAATATATAGTCTCGAAAAGAAAGCACTCCGTTTTTGTACACATACAAATTATTTAGCCCAAACTGAGACAATATTTTATAAACTAAAAACATTTTTGTCAGATACATAGAAACTAAATGACTGCAAATTCGTATAAATTTCTATACCTCATTCTTATTGGGAATAAACGTTTTTTTTTTTTTTTTGTATTATGCAGACCAAACTGCGACCAAATGACATAAGATTTAAGACAGAATATAAGATTATATAGTCATCATTTCTTTAACACTGCGTACGTCAGACTGTATATTTATACCGTATAAAAACACTTACATCTACATCCTAGCTCGGATGTACCAAGATTCGACCGTGCGTTTCGCTTATTCGATGACAAAGATAACTGTTAGATACGATTACGGTTTCCTTTTAGAAAATTACGTTAAAAAAAATAATCGACATACTTTTATTACAATACAAGAGAGAACTCAAGACGTAAACAACTTCAAATTCTGTTTTGCTACCAAGACTAAGGATTATCTTTGATGTACAATGTATTATGTGCAACATATAAATGTGTGGTACATTCAAAGTAAAATAATATTACTTTCGTCGGCAAAGGAACATGTTGAATATAGTAGATCTGAACAACGGTTGTGACACGGCATACGATATCGGGTTGAGGAGGCTGTTAAGGTACGTCATCCATCCAAAGAACAGTCGTGCTGGTCGCGGTAGTCCTGGCACAACGAGCACGGGTTCGATGGAGTAAATGAGCGAGATGATGCTCTGCGGTAGCCATGAAACTACGAAAGCGATAACGATGAAGAGGAGTGTTCTGGTAGCCTTGCGCATTTCTGTGGCAGTTTCGCGTTTCATCTGAGAGTGATTGAAAGAAAATCAAAACCACGGTTTAAAATTTACTCGGACTAAAATTAGACACTCGGATTCAATTGCTTATCCGCAGAAGACAGTCCACATACTCCACTCTCTGCATTAATAACGTTACCATTAAAATAAATTTTCGCCGTAAGCAATGCCTGTATTATCATGCTTATTTAAAAAATGAGGTATTACATGAAGAGCGAAGGACAGAAGGGCAAAACTATCAAGCAAGGAACAAAGCAAAATATTGACTAATATACGAAACTTTGTCTTAGTGTCTAATTTAATTCTCAAAAACCACTTACCACGATTGTATCATTTCTAATAGATTGATTTAAAGATAGTGTATCTGAGTTTTCATCGGCTTTGCTAATTATGACAAATGAAATAATCAAAGAAGACAATGTTTTAAATTTCTTGTTGTCTTATTGCTGTGAACATGGTAAACGGTGATAAAAAAAATTCTTACTGTTGTTTTCTTCCTACTATTCGCAGCATTGCCGTTCTTCATCTCTAGACCCTGATCAAGATTATCGGATGAGAGGTCGACATTGATGGTTGCAGTACTGACTGCAGACGTCATGTCATCGTGAGGTAACTCCGCTGTGATCTTTCCATTGTTTGCATCTTTCAGAACAAACTGTTTTTCGACACTCCTACCCCCAAGAGTAGCCTGGATTTTTGCAGCGATTCTAAAATAGAGTACAGCGATGATGGTAAATGGTAAATAGAAGAGAGAGATGAACGGGATGATGCCAGGTAATGTTCGTAAAGTGTACCAGCGAATGCAGTGACGACCGTTGTCGAAATCGATGATGAATTCGGGTATGGTGATATACAAAAACCAGAAGACACCTGACACAGTCCATGGGATGAGGTTTCTGATGACGGCCATTCGTTTGCTTCTAGACATGAAGTGGTTAATGGGATCGTAAGTTGCCCGATGTCGATCAGCGCAGATCACGACTACGGCAAGGTTTGATGCGTTGAGAATTCCTGACTGGATAGCAGAAGTAACCTTGCAGATATCTTGCGAGAACGGGTAGTATCCTATGT